CTATGTTTAAAATATAATAAGCATATTTGTAAAGAGAAATAGTGCTTGGTTTTTATATAAAGAAAAGCACTTGACGTTAATGACATTTTTGATTTAAAAATTAAACATTTACAAAACATAATTTTTTTAACTAGAACATTTTTTWAAAAAAGCTCACCCTGTTAATTTTTTATCAATAAAATGTTAATTTATATATTTAGAATTTAATTGTACTGCCAGAAGATAGATTAATATGTTGTTTGAAAGCATTCATTATAAGTGATTTTTGGGAAATGCGAAATACTGGTGCAATTTATTTATATATATTGGCAGTTCAAAAGGGTCTCAAATTTTTTGAAGACTATTTAGAAAAGTCATTTTTAATACTGTTAACTGACCCAAGTAAATATTATTTATTTCTATTTTTTTTTTTTTTATGTTGTATTAAATACCTACTTCTGCATAAAAATAAATAAATATTTGCATGATATTTAAGTAGTTGAGTAAAAGTATTAAATATTTTCYAGAATCAATTGTTCAGAAAACTGCGATGGATATATTTAAACAATTAGTAACAGAATTTGGAATGGATTGGGCTCAAACATATATAGTGCCATACCTAATCAAATTATCTTACTCAACAAATACCTATAACAAGATAGCATTTTTATCATTCGCTAAAGTATGTGCAACAATAATGTGTACACAATTAAGAGCATTAAACATATGACAGAATGCAGTGGAATAATGATTTGTTGGATTCTTAATAACAGAATGTTCTATGGTTAGATTTTAGCAATTAGATATTTCCTTAATCTCAAAAAATCTGACTTATRAAATGGATTCATAATAATTAAACTACAAAAACATTGAATTACTAGAATTATTAGAGTTTTTTGAAATCTGTGATCAATAATTGATGTTAAACAAGCTATTTCTTYGTGTTGTATACCATCAATCTAATAAAAATCCAAATGTTCACTATGCTTTAGTCAAAACATTAAATGTAATGATAACCTCAATTTCGGAGTATGATTATATTTATTACAACTGTAATAGTAAATAATTTTGTGTGGTCTATTATTTTACTTCAGCAAAGATTATTATATTAAATGATAAAATGAAATCTACAATAAAAATATTAATCACAGACATTACGCAATGAAACCACTGGCAATGAATTTATGGAAAGAGCATTTTAGTATGTAACCTATTCGATCAATATAATACCATTATTTTTTATAAACTAAATTTTGTGAATTTAATTTCAAAAGTATTCAGCATATCGCAAAATTTGGTCATATTTTTCAAAAAGTATCCTTCAACATTATTCTCACCGCAATTTTCTTTTTTAATTATTATATTGTCTTACACTATTTTGTTATGTATTTAAAAAATATGTTGTTACCATATTAATTGTTTATATTKAACAATATTTTGTTTTAAGTACAAACATAAGTAAAAACAAATAAAAGGATTATTGTTTTTTTATGTGATGATAAATATTTATAAAATTGTTTCATCTCGTTGAATATCAATATTCTATAGATATTTTATAATACCAAACTTTAATTAAAACAAAACAAATGTGTTTTAAACAGTTTTATTAGTAAATTTTGTTTTTTTGGCAATTAAAGTTCAAATAAAAATACTAATTTATGGTTAAATACGTAAAAATGTATACTATTCCTACGTATTAACCCTGTGAACACAAACTGATTTTTAAAAATTTTATTAGATTTTCAGTTTCAAAAACCCTGAAATTTAGTTCTCAGAATAAATTTTTAATTTTACAGAGGATAAAAAAAAATTATGTTTATAAATCAAACAATAAAAGTTGAAAAGCATAATATTATGTGTGTACATATTGCTAGAAAGTTAAAAAGGTTAATTCAGTTTTACAACTATTGGTTTGGGAAGCAAATTTCAAATTTCAATTTATTTATTAAATTAAGTATCATTTTAATATTTTATTTTCATGCTCAAAATATTCTATTCCTTTAAATTAAAAAAATAAATTTGAAATAATTTTTCAAATTTATTTTTTAAACTTATTTTTCTCATATCAGTCTTACATATTTGCTTGGCTTAATACTTCAAAAATACACAGTCACTATGTTATACTGTATTAATTTTTTTCAGTTTTTACTATTCTTTGTTTTTAAGTTTTTCACTAGCCAATCATATATTTGGGCCTCATTATTCTTAACCCAATGTACATTGAGTTGTATCATTTCCAAACTTTGTTCTAAAGCTCTGGTTCCTGAACCAACATCTATGTAACGGAAGAAATCAGATACTTCTTTATAATCATATTCAGTTGAAAAATGAGATGTAACCGCTGTAATTAGACCTCCCAATGTGAATGTTCCATTTCCAAAAAGTGTTTGAAGGTTATCCCAATTGGCTTTTAGATGACGCCATGCCAGCAGCTGACCTTGTGGTCCTTGTGAAGCCACCACACCAAAAACCATTTTAACATCCTGTGTTTTAACTTTTGTGTTATCCAGAGTAGTTGACAAAAGCCTAAAAATTAAATTAAATGCATGATGGAAATGTTTATCTTAACAAAATATTAGACATATTACTTTTGAAGTAACCAAGGATCATTAGAAGCACCAAGTACTGTGAGGAGTAATTGACGTTCGCTTGGCACACGACTTTGATTGTATTTATCCCAACAAAAATTCCACTCTTTGACGTCTCCATACTTAATACCTATTCACAAATATTTTTAATACTTAACCATAATAAAATATAAATCATTGATCTTACCTGCCAAGTAAATTACTTCCCTTAAGTTTGGTGGTATACGTTTGTTTTCATACATCCATTCTTCAAATCTATTTTTTGCTTCTTTTACCACATCTTCTATTCCACATAAAATAGCCGCGGACAAAATCTGAGATCGCATTAATCTGAAAATTCACAATTGAAACATTGAATTTTTTATRTGAAATAAATGTTCACTGACAAAGAATATACTCTATCAACACTTCCGTACAGCCATTAGTTTGAAAGTGACCAACTTCTTTTATTTTAAATTATTTATCTGTATTGTGAAAAAAT